GCCGAACACATAACCTTTCGATAAAGAAACACTCCTTGTGGTCTATTTATTATGCACGAACTATGCGTTATGCAACGATAATTTTATTCACTCGATTTGTGTGGTATAATCCACTATTTAACATTTTTTTGTTTATATTTTTTTATTTCAAATTAATTCAACAGAACTGAATTCGTCTATATTGGGATAGAAGTGTAGGGAGGATGTAGGGACGAGGGGAGCTGATAAGGTGGTAAGGTCAGGAGTTGTGGAGGAGAGATATGAGGAGCGTGTGTTTTCAGAAGTATGTGTCGGCAGGAGATGATGGAGGATGTTACAAAGGCGCTGAAGAGGTGATAAATGGAATCAGATAAAGGTGTATAGGTTTATGAAATGGGTGAGGTGGCCATGTCTAGTAAGGGCATTCAGCTGATGACTGGACATGTTCCATTCCATGTGTATGTGTGTGTGGTTTGAGTGAGGACACCCTGCAGCATATCTTGCAGGAGTATCTAGGTGGGAGGAAAGTAAATAGTAAAGACGAGGTCAGAAGGAAAAAAGAGAGAGAAAGTAAGGGAGAGTCGAATATAATTACGGATAATAGAGATGTGGGTGATTGGAACAAGTTGGCGACAGGAATTATGTTTGGTTATGATGAGGAGTAGTGCTGGTTGTTGTTAGGCGGAGGCGGTGGGTGGCCTTGGTGGTGGTTGGGTAGAGAAGAGCAAAAAGAAAGCTGCATGCCGAAAGGCAGGACGGTCGTCATCATGTTTTATACATGGTAACTTAAACTGTCATTGTAAAGAATAAAGCTTCATAAGCAACTAAATCAAATCGAAATATAGACATGGAACAGTACATAAAAGCAACTACACTGGATGGATAAATTGTATTGATGACAACGAAACTTGATAATTGATAGATTTACTAAAGAGATTATGTCTTTTGTAATAAAATGTCTAAAATTAAAACCAAATAAAAGTATCAATAAAACTAAGACTCGACTTGTTGTCAAGGGCTGCGTTTAATAACCATGAGTAGACTACGATAAATTCTATACCCCATATGTATTCTGAACTTGAGGAAGAATTATAGATGATACGACCGTAGAGTTTTGAGGAGTTTTAATTACCAAGAAATACAAATTCAGAGAAGAATTACACAAATGATTGAAAAATTTGGCATGACTAACGCAAAACCAAGCTAGTTTGCTAATCATGCTAGTTAACAAAAAGGAAGAAAGTATAGTTCTTGATCATAACACATCACATCGAGTAGTTCTCATATCTCACAATGTGAAGTTAGCCGAAGATGTTGTGTAAGTTAATCGTGGCTAGAAAAGTATCGAAATCCACAAAGCGGATTAAATACTAATCTAACCTTCTTATCTATTAACATTAAAAAGGTGAGATTCGGGAATTTTTGTTACTGTACGAAAAAAAAACTGTTTAGAAGACTTTGTAATATATAACGACCATGCAGAATACGATATGTTGATCGACAACCAAATCTCAATAGCTAGCAGCCAACGAATTGATATATTGAGAAAAGTCCAGATTTCCTGTGTGACAATAAATATTATGATAAAACCTTGAGTTTTGTTACAAAAGCACAAAGTACATCATTGTATGTACAGGGTGGGCCGTCAACGTCCACTAAAGTTTGTATATTTCAAAGAAGACTTGAACGAGATATCAACTGTGCTATATTTTTGGAAAGAAAAATTTATGCTATCGTCGCATTTGCAAAAATATATAGGGTGTTTGCCATTTAAAAAAATCATTTTTATGTCAATAACTGCTAAAATATTGCTTTGAGGGAACAGAAAGGAAGATTTATCAATAAGAAAAAAGTTATGACGACTTTTCGAAAATGCACTTTTTTGAAAAACACCCTGTATCTCTGAAACCGTAAGAGATATCGATATGCGGTTTTCGTCATTAAGTTTCTTATAAAAATCGAGCCTCAGACACTGATACCATTTTTACTCTATCTTTTATAAAAAGAGGAGTTTTCCTTAAAAGTGTCCAATTTGCCCCACCTGTACAGTATTATTACAAAGAAAATTTGTGTCAAAAATATTTTAGCAGTGTGTAACGTTGACATGAAAAATCAATTAGCCGACCTTTATATGAACAATTTATTGGCCTTACAATTTTTAAAGTGAAATTGGCAACGTGGTTTGAATCGTAACTTTCTACTCTGATACCTCGATTGCGTTTTAGCTTTAATGATATCGGTTGAAACTCCTCAGCTTCAAAAGACCTCGGCTTATATTCGGCTAGATCTAGAGCTATAGATCGACCATCACAGAGCTATAAAACAGCTTTTCTACAAAAAGATCACACTATTTTATCTTTACCACTTTAGAAATTAAAGCTGAAGGTACTTCCAGCCAAAGCGCTGCAATTGTAACTTTCGACACTCATATCTAGGTTGCGTTTTATTTTTAATAATATCGCTTCGTCTTAAGCAACCTCGGCTGTGATTTATCGCATACTACAAGAACTTGCATATCAAGGTTAAAGCCGAGGTACTGCAAGCTTTATATATCCGATTATGTTTAATGATAACTAGTCACAATTGTAGCGCCTCGGCCGTAAGCAACCTCGGCTATAATCTATCGCAATCGTCAGAGATAAAATGCAACTTAAATATATATCACAATTTTTCTCATCACCGATTTAAAGATTAAAATTGAAGTCGCTTGCGACCATGGGGCTGCATTTATAAGTTTATACATTCATACTTCGACTGAATTTTATCTTGCATAGTCTCAATTATAGAACCTCGGCTATAATTAGTCGCAATCATCAAAGTAAAATGTAGCTTACGAAATGTTCTTAACTGCTTTAGAGGTTATGTCGTTTTTCTTTAATGGTCTCGATTGTAGCGCCTCGCTTTCAAGGCTATGAGCTACTGTAATCATCAGAGATTGATCATAGCTTAGGTATGCAATAAATAATTAGATATCAAAACCACGAAGTTTGCAGGAGATATTAGGAAATATTAGACAATCATATGTATGTGATCTTTAAGGATTAAAGATATAGTTTATATTACATGTTTGGTGTTTAATGTAATGCAGAAGTTGTTTTATAAAGACAACTTGGGTAAGTGAGGTAGCCTTATTTATGAGGGGATCTAGATTTTCAAATCTTAATAATCTTACGTTTACCAATTATTTGATAACATTTTAAACGGAAGCACTAAGTTTTATATTTGGATTTAGTCATACATGATTTTGATAAATTCCTAGTAATACAGAATTAAATTCTTTATCCGATAGGCTAATCAAATATGTATGAGGTGTTCCATTTCTAATTTTCGAGTTTTTTGAATTGATTACGATAATTAAATTTGTGAGTAATCCTGTATAAGATTGAGTGATACATTTGAAGATCCAACGTTGCCGGTTGATTACTGTTGAGATATCTTTGGTTTAACCGGTGAGTCATTTTGATTTGTATCTTACGATCTGGTTTTTCAAAAGTTCTACTATAATAAAAATTAAAACGATAAAAGTAGATTGAATAATTATAATTTCAACTTTTTAACGCCTCACCTAATCATAATTTATTATTCAAATCAAATCATTTATAAAGCACTTTTTTCTCTTCCCACACCGCTTAGAAAGTGTGTACGTAGAGTCTGTCCATAATTGCCATTTTCGCGTATTAATTAGCTTCTATGTGGTGTAGTCACAAGGTCGAACGTGGAATTAAAAAACCGCCTTCTAAACGTGTTTCTGTAAAAGTAACAGTAAAACGCGATGTAGTTGCGTAACCCATCGGTAACCTTTTCTACATTGAAATGGTTCCACGCCCTTCTCGGCGAAATGATTTTACATCTCTATGAGGTCGATATAGCTGTTTTCTCGTGTAAAACCGCGTTTCCGGAAAATTTAAACCCGCAATAATGACTCCCTTATTCGCTCGGGTATCGTTCCGTGGATAATTACAAGACGAGGTTATCGGGTATTGAATTTGCTGGGAGTTAACTGGGCACGTGCAAGAACGGTCGTTTAATGGTTTTCGTGGGCGGTTTTGCCCCGGAGGAAGTTGTAAAACCACGGAATTTTCTTTTGTTGATGAAACAATTATTAATAAGAATTGAAAACAAAAAGAAAAAAATTCCATTTATTATTACTCACCATATGGGTTTTGTAAACTAATTGAAGAACAACAAACTTAAGAGGGGTGCTTATTTAAAATCGTTAAGATGTTTAGATTTTCTTCGTTCGTGTTTGCTGTTTTTAAACTTATTTACTAACATAACCTTTTAAACTATGAATGAGTTAATTGATATCCTCTTTAATACCTTTTCCAACATTTCTTAAGAACTGACAAAATCTCGTTTCGTTTCCTCTTTGGGTTTATTTTTACGGCTCGGTTAACAAACGGATTCGGTTCGTTGCCAATGGTGAGAATGTCGAGTTTTCCTCGACTCGGAGACTACGAGAGGATGCATTGTTTTCAAGAAAAACGTTCGATTCAACGACGTCGTTTCCACGCGGTTGGTTGTAGTCGTTGTTGGGCTGGTTACTATACATGTTGGCCTTGCAACTTGTTTACACTATTCATACGGGATCTATACTAATGGACACGCAAAGACAGTACGTATTCAAAAATTATGGGAAAATTACAAAGGAAGTTACGTTATTTTGCGAAATATTACATACACACAACGTTACGTAAAAGCTTAGAAAAAAAAAAAGATTAAAGGACAACAGCCTTATGAACGACAACGAAAGATGACACTGTATTCTTCCTACGCACGTCATCAAGTGTCAAGGCCGAACGTACTTTGCGTTTCGAATTACATATGAAATTGTTTCTTTAGAATAAAGAAACATTTTCTAATATTCGTAATAATATTTATCTATTTTTATAAATTATTTCATGCGACTTTAAATAGTTTCAAAACTTGTTTATAATTGGAGATGACATCATTAACGATCACACACAAATACCTTCTGTCAAGGTCACAAAGTTTATTAAAAATCAAAACATCGAACTTACCATTTCCCTTCGTAGTATGGCTAATTGAGCATCCAAACTCGATTGCTGTTGATTCCCAGCGACGACGTTTCCGGTGGTCTGCTGTTGCTTCGGATGTGGTGGGTAAACCATGTGCTGTTGTTGGACACCTGCACCCGGAGGCGTTGTGTTCCGGCTCCGGTTCGGTGTTTGTTGTCCTTCCATGAAACTGAAGCTGGAAAGGCTCTTCGGTAGCGGTGGTAATCCATGAAGATTCGACATTGCAGCCAGCCTGGAAATTAAAGGGTCCAGATTGATGTCAGTGTCGTTCTTTTCGGCAGCTTCCTCGATGGTAATTTGACAACTGGATAGACGCACTTCCTGCCCGTTACTCAACTCTATCCAATCGGAATGATGTATTTTTGAATCTTGCAAATTTTGTTCGTTGAGATCGGTGAGTTTTTGGTCATCATAAAGATCTTTTGATGGTTTTCTTTGGCGTTTCATGATACGTTCTTGTTCAATTTTCATGTTTTGTAACTCGTTTATTAATAATTCATGATTAAGTTTATCATCAAACTTTACATGGAGCGACTTCCGATCTGTTGTTGATGAATTACTATCTTTGCTACTACTCGAATCATCTTTAGTTTCAGTTTCCGATGAATCTTCGATAACCAAAACTGTCGTGGCTTGTGGAAGAAGCACTTCGACTTCATCTTGATGAGCAACTTCATCGTGCACTTTAATCATAGTTTTATCCAAAGACACTTCGATATCCTCGTTATCACGATTGTTAAGAACTTCAGCGAACATCTCATCTATGAGAGTATTCACGTGATTTCTGTCATTCAAAACTTCGTTCCAATTTTTGTCTTTTTCTTTCAAACTTTCTTTCCTGGTTACGTTTGGTGGTTTCTTTTGAGGGTTCGACTCGTAAATAACAGTTCTTGTTTTCTTCTGTTCGTGGGATATCGACCGTTCCAAAGTAGGTTTCGAAAGATTCAAGTTAATGCTCACTGAACAATAAGATTGAGACTTCGCGATTGGATTCGCGGCAAAGTTCTCTTTGATTTGTTGCACTTTCGATGAAACCGGAGGCGGAGGTGCAACCCTAACAGGTACTGAGGGTGGTTTCGAACCAATTTCTTGTTGAATCGCGACGTTAACTTTTTTATTCTTAAGTGCTTCGGCAACCGTGTGTTTACTAGGCCTCGGGGGTACAGGTGGAGGCGGTTTTGCCATTTTATTCCCGGCGTTTGACCGCATCATGATCATAACTTACGTCGTCACTATAAGTTGTTAGTCATGAGTAAATGATTCACGAGTATTTGTTCGGATAAAGTAGGTCGCGGGTTTACGTAGTTCTCTCTCGGAGGTCGAGCGCGGGACTGTGGAAGTCTCGGAGTACAGCATTTTACCTTTTCGACAACAACCCAGTTGGTGGAGGGGGATTCTCCTCCTCAACTCCTCGCCAGCAGCTCAGGCTACTGTTAACGCAGGCGAACTGTGTAGTTGTTTACCGTGTACAATTAACGAAAACAATAACAAAATTAGATGGTACTGAAAAGAAGTCATCTTGTAGTAATCAAAATTAGTTTTTAAGTGATTTTAAATCTTAATTTCAAACTAATAATTTGTAAACGAACCAGATTAAAAAAAAAAAATTGTATAACTTGGGAATTCGAACAGAATTGTGACATATTTTGTCAAATTTTTAAAATCATACAATTAAATGTTGATCAATAAGTATTATTGCGCAGTAATAAGATCTCATAACTTTCATGTTATGCACATCTGTACAGAACATTATTTTGTTATATATATCGTTTTTAACAATAATGTGTGGTATGAAAAAAGCAGATGTAAACTACGCCTACTTGTCATACTTAATCAACCCGCAGCACAAAACGCGTGTGAAACACGTTTTCCACGACCCATACCAAAGATGAATTGTACACATGAATTCTGAATGCAATTCTGAATATGCTGAGTGAAATGTGGTTACTCACTTTTTCCCAAGTACCAAGTTTTCCACCTTAAAATATTGTATGGGGAGTATTACAATATAAGTAAATAAATATAATAGACTTTTAGTGAAACATCAAGAAAGGTCTATCAACAAAACTGCGAACAAATTATTTAGGATCTTAATATTTAGATTTCCTTGATCGTTCACGATATCAGTGTTGAAAGATGTGTTCTGTTTTTTTTTTCAGTTTTTCATCATGACTTTTGGGTTACGAAATGCTGGAGATTTTTTTCAAAGATTCATCGATAAAGTATTGCAACGTTTGGATTTATGGTATTTTGGGATATCAGTGATGGTGCTTCTTGTGTGTTTTGAAGACAAACATTATCCAAGCAGAAATAAGTGAGTACACATTTTGATTTTACATTCCAATAAAAGACCCAAAATAAACCTAGTTAATCTCTTATTGCTATTAGAAGAAAGGTTATGGATATCTTTTACGGCTTAAGAAAATTCGCTTCACTAACACCCATAACATAAGCTTAGACAAAGCCCATATCTCCTGTGTTAAAACTATTTCTGTTCTAACTCCGTTAACTTCTTCTTAATAAGTTACGGCACATAGATTATGCACGCCAATGAAGAGAACCCAGTCCACACAAATTTACTTTGCAACATCTCTGGTTTTATATTATGTGCTTGTTTTACTTATTTTCTATCCAAAATAAGATTGTCTTTGATGATTGATCTTCCAATTCAAAAGATTTTTATGTCACTCTTGTTAGCTACGTTTCCAATCAAATCGTTGAATCTAAATGAAGAGTAGTTGTTGATTCACAAATTTAGTATTTTTAGCAAAACATGAATTTTTCATAGAAGAACTAAGGTTCAATCGTATTTGTCAATATTATCATTCAAAACAGGAATTAGATTTAAAAAGCGCTTGTAATCGCTGTATGCCAGAATAAAGTCATCATCTATTTGTATGGCAACACCTCAAAAAACGACACTCAAAAATTGATTTATAAGATAGCAAAGTTAATGAATTTGTTAATAACATTAATCCACTATGCGTTGCTTGGTTGCAATACATTTTGGAACCGCCATTTTGCCACAATTATCATAATAATTGAAATGATTGAGTACAAGAAGTGTTACAGATTTCTTTATTAAATAAGAGTGTGAATCATTTTCTGACAGTTCTTCGCCGCGTCAACTCCAATCTTGACTGCAGATTTATAACTCTGCTTTGTAAGATTTATTTCTAAGTGATTTTTTTAGTATTTTTGGAGCTTTCTTTATAACTTTCAGATAATATATTAATGCTCAAGCTCCTTGAGGTGAATTTCTTGGACCTAGTCTAAGAAAACTTATGACGGATGAAAAATTACTGGCATTCTTGGCAATGAAAAAGACCCATACTAAAACTCTACCCACATATTTTCAGAACCTTGACTAAAAAGTAGACTTAGAAATTTGTTTTTGAAAGTATGCGCTCGTCACCTATCTCGTCTTCTTTTAGTGATTCAAATTCAGAATCAGATCCATTCTACAGGATCCTTTTCACATTTTTAACAGTAAGGTTCAGCGTCATCATAGCCAAGTCAAAAAGAGTGCTTCTCATCCCGTTGGAAATGCCGCTTCGTTTTCAAACTGCCCGGTTATGTGTTCACTCAGTTTGATTCATCACTGATCATCAAAATAACTACTGTATCTAGCACAATCTGGATCAATATCTAATCGTTATCTTATTTCCCTCTATATTTGGAAGAGAAAGCTTGAGTATCGTCATGTAAGACATTGCTAAGGTATTTATTGACTTGCTCGTGGCCAGTGACGCAACAATTTACTATTAACTCTCGTTTACTCGAATCCGTATAAGTCTTGAGTATGTTCCATAAAATAACCGTTTCTTGTGTACGCTGATAGAAAAAGTTACATGTTATGACTCGTTTGAACTTATTGCACAATGTCTCAATATGCATTTTAAAACATTTGACAACAATTTTGGTAAGGCGATATTCAGAGATGTATTTAGCTGGTTATCAAGCGAACTATCTCGGTTTTCTTATGCTAATACTTAATCGGTCACCCAGAAAAGTAGTTCAAGCAACATTACGTCTCTCTCCAGATATCCTTTCGACTTTTAAAGTATCACGTTCCCTGGGCTGATATGTTACTTTGGCCATCTGGGATTAAAACCGTAGGTGTTAGTTGAAGCGTGGTAACTGGGTATGTTCGCTGCAATGCAGTTTTATTGGAACCAAGCCGAGCTTCTGGCGATAATTACCTCATACACTAATTATACAAACACCTCAAACGAGTGCTGATCTGCAACAACCTTCAGAACTAAAATAGGAATCACAAATATATTAATATCTGTTTAATAGGCGCTCTCGTATTATTATTCTTGTGATACAGAAATGAAAATAGATGAAATCTTGATGTAATTTTAACCTATAGCTGGTTCAAGTATTATTATGAACCCTAGTTATCCTAAACCAAACCGAATATATTTTAGGATACATATAAAACATAAAAAGATAAAATCGCAACTTAATAATATCTAAATTTGACAAAAACGACACAATTCAGTTATCTTGATATAAAATCATGATATAAGATTTCGTTAAAATTTTCTAAATAAGTCTATTTGACCTGAATTTAATTTAAAAATCTCGCATACTTTGACGTGCTAAATCAAGTCAGTTCATTTTACTTTCCCACTGACCCAGATGCAAGTATTGACCCGTTATGTAGTCCAATTACCTTCAAGAATGTCGATTTATTTATTTTTTGTAATCAATCTCGCAAAAAAAGTGAATAAAAAAATAGATAGGTAACAATATCAAGAATTAAACATCTTGTGAAAGGAGTTGTAATCACAAAGGTTGAACGTTGTAATTAGCGGGGAAATTATGTCACCGTTGTTCGCAGAGTGAATGTCACGGCTCGTATTGCGTCACGCGCTGCTTTATTTTCCAATCTAAAGTAAATTATCCGCATCTCTACTCTACTATATGTCTCTCTACTATGCGTTGCGGTTCCTAACGGCAACTAAAAGTTTTTCTCAAGAAAAAAGCCCGGTCATCGTCGTAACACGGTGACGAGTTTGATTCAAATCCAATCAAAATCCACAAATAATTAATCTAACAGTAAAATTTATCTGGTCGTTTTGGTGAAAGGGTCTAATCTACATACTACCTCGTATTTATTCATAACGCAAAATGCAAAACATTACAGTAGTTATCTAATTTTTAATTAACAACTATTTAAACGAATTTTTTTCAAGTGTGTATTCGACTTCAGCTTTTTATTTTGCGTACACAACTGTAAACCGATATTTTATTCGCTTCGGAGTTTGGTTCAAGTTGCAAAACAACTACGGCGATAATTGTATAACCCTAGGCGTTACCCGCAAGTCAAGCTATGCTACAAGAAATCCGCCTCCTCATTGGACGTTCCATCTTTGAACAAAGGTTACAGTGCCGGGTCGGTCACGATTTTAGAAATCTCGAGTTAAAACCGTTCGTTTACTCGTGCACCCGCACAAACTAAAAGGTTTTCTGTTATGTAATTGATTTTGCAAGTTCTTATTTTTTTTTGAATTTCCCGCTTTTAATTAGGATGGTTGTTAAGGAAAAATGGCGGTTTGACACTTAGCTATCATACAGTGGCAGACAGCATTGAATTATGAGGTTTTTGTACAACATGATAAAAAAATTAGTAGAGATGCTGTATGTAGACTTTTGTTGGTCACTGTATTTGTAATTAAACTGGAAAATTGGAGATTATAAAAAATAAAAAAGGATTTATTATCTACTTCAAATAAAACATTTAAAGAATTACCTGTTTGATCTAATCGAAGAAAATATCTTAATTTCGATTATTTTTTTGAATTTCCCGCTTTTAATTAGGATGGTTGTTAAGGAAAAAATGGCGGTTTGACAATTAGCTGTCATATTTTAAAATTAATCTGGATTATTGGAGATTATAAAAAATAAAATAAAATTATAAAAAAAATTTATTATCTACTTCAAATAAAACATTAAAAAAAAGTTACCTGTTTGATCTAATCGAAGAAAATATCTTAACGATTATTAAACTTCCACTCTTGTCGACACATTGGACATTGTTGATTAACTTGTTGAGATTGTAACCATTTAACAATACAGTGCATATGAAAGCAATGAGTGCATTCGCCCCAAACTAATGGACAATTATCTCCAGGAAATTTACATTCAGGGCAACAACCATCAAAGGACATTCGACATATTCCACAATTATCATCGTTTGCTACCCATTTCCAAGTAGCGACCGATTGCCAATCTTAATAATCAAAAACTAAATTAAAAACTTACGAAACCCATAAATAACAATTTACTTACTTTTAATGATAACTTTCATAATGAACCATATCCAAGGGGATAGAAAATTGATGTATTGATGTCAATTTAATGTCATTTAATAGTGTTTTTGTACAAATTACTTTTTTTTATAAAATAAGATTTTGAAGGTGAAATAAGATGAAATCGAAATCGAAAATAGTACAACCAAAAATCGATGAATCTCTCCCTCAAGTTGATAATGATAATGCTGATATAGAAGTGCAACCAACATCGAAATACGAAAAGAAACTAATTGAGTTTATTAAAAGCGGCCAAGCTGATAGAGCTAAATTTGAATGTAAATATAAATTAACTTATAATTATCGCAAATAAGGTTAACGATTCTTTTAAATTAATATTAATTAATTAATTACAGTTTGTTTTTATATATTTAAGTTGGCAGTTATAACGTGAAGTTAGTACGTCAATTTTCTGTCAATTTATGTTGTATAAACTTCGGATTTTAATCTTTAAAAATTACTTCAACACGTTTTTTTAGATATTCATATTGAAGGTAGAACACCAAAGCTAAAAACAGAAGATTTAGAAGGTGATATATCACAAGGTGAATGTAATTTATACGACACCGAAAAGTTGTGTACTCTTTTTAAGGTAATTTTGAGGTTATGTTATAGGTTATGTTGATTATTGTTACTATTATTTAGCAATTACTAGAAATAGATTCAAAAATGGAAGATATGCAAGCGAAAAAATCTCGCGTTGATTTAGCATCTCTTCCGACAAGACAATATTTGGACCAAACAGTAGTTCCGATTTTACTTCAAGCGTTATCATATTTGGCAAAAGAAAGGCCTCCAGAACCGATAAATGCCTTAGCGGCTTACCTATTAAAACATAAACAAGTGTTTGATCCATCGCCAGATCAATCTCCGAAAGATGGAAGTGATAAAAAGGACAAGGATAATTTACAACAACAACCTACTCAACAACAAACGTCCTAAACTTAAGGCTATTTATTATTAATTTTTTAAACATAGAAGAAACACATGGTATTTTCTCTTCTAATTTAGAATAATAAACAAATTATTGTAATTAAATTAAATTATTTTAACACAAATTTTTATCCTTTTAACATTTTTTTTTACATTTTTGTTAGAAATATGTCATTACATATCGTTACAAGTAGCTGTGTCTTGTGGTGAATTAATGCTGATTCCGCATAAGCATCTACGACTTCCTTTCCCATCTGGAAGACAAATATGGCCTGTTGGACATTGATTTTTATATTGACAAACATTGTATTGAGTTGGACATTGATCAGGAACTGCTACAACTTCATAAATTTTATCTTTTGGAGATCCAAGAGGAACTGAAATTGGTTTTAATCGTGTTAAAGTGTCTTTGTTGACGACGTTAATTTTTCTTCTAAAAAAAATTAGATAAATAATTAGAATATAGAATATACAGTGTGTTAATTAATTATCGTACCTGACGTATGCAACCAATATCACAGTGTTAGTATTGCAACAAGCAAATCGCGTGTTATAAAATAAATACTGTGATATTGGTTGCATACTTTCAATGATGACGTCGGGTACAATAATTAATGATAGAAATGAAGATTAAATTTTTAACTTACGATATCCAATCAGACCAATAAATTTTATCACTAGATACAGCAACCCCAAAAGGTTTTGTACAATTACTAGCGATGGTTTGTCGAAATCTTGTGTCGATGTGTATACATTCAATGCTATTTGTACCAGCATCTGCATAACAAACGTGTTCTCTATCAAAATCTATAACTAAAGAATTTGGTGTCACAACAACAGTTTCATTTACAAAGACTTCTCTTCCCGTTCCGTCTGTGTTTGACCATTCTATTTTTGGTTTACTTCGCTTCCAATCGCTCCAAAATAGTTTTCCTCTTTGAGGATGAACCGCGATGCCCCTCGGATTTGATAGATCCGTTTTAAAAAGTACTCGTCTTAATCGTGTGTCGATGTTAGCAACTTCGATTGTTCGTTTATTTGCATCGGTCCAATAAATGTTTCTTGAAACCCAATCGATTGAAATTCCTTCTGGTGCTCTGATATCGGTGTCCAAAAAGACCTTTTTATCATTGCCTAGATAATTAGAACTTCGAATAGCTTTCCCGGAAATATCGCCCCAATAAATTCTTCCTTCCATACAATCAACATCTAGTCCAACAGCAACTTGCATTGGTCTCACTTGAACAGGTTTTATAAAACTCCTTCCATCATAATTAAAAGGAATTTTTAATGTAGCCATTCCTTGATTTAATAAAACAAAATTCCCGTCGTGTTTTGGAATTGCTTTACAAAAAGTACCATTTCCAATAAAACCTGGGTTACATTCGCAAACGAATTTTCTCGAAGCATCCGTTACACATCTCGCGTACGGATCACACATTGACGGTTCATTGTTGCAATTTTTTTCTTGGTAACAAACAAATCCATTTCCAAAATAACCTTCGAGGCATTGACATTCGTATAACTGCGATGTCGAATTTAGTTCGCATTTAGCATTTATTCCACAATTATTATTAATATTACACCCGACGGGTCTCAATTTACATTCAGCGATACCATCACCCATATATTCTGATTTACAAGAACAATAATGCGTTTCAAGAACGTCATCGAAAAGACAATCGGCGCTTTCGTGGCAAGTTGCACCATCACAATTTCCTTCTAATTGTACGCATATGTTTTGAGTGTCTCTTACCAAACCATCTTTACATATACATTCGTAACCATTGAAATCTAAGGAATATGCGCAAATTTCGTTGATCGGACAATCATCATCACTACTGCATTTTGCTAAAAAAAAAAGATTTTTGTTTGAAGAAATTTTCTGGAGAATGTCTCAAGAATCTCGCAATGTTTGCAGCATACTCTTTCACTACTACGATTAAGCTCCAACAATTGGTGACCCCGACGTGATCAAAAAGTAGCCGAAGTTAAGTTGAAAATAAAGAAGAACTTTAAAATGGCCCCACTACAATTACTGTTTATTAATGTTGAAATACTATTTGTCTGGGGGTAGCTGATCGCTGATGAAATGAAGTACAATTATGTCTTGATCTCAAGATCAGAAGTATTGGTCAGAAGAACGAGAAGTTCTGTGCAAGTCTTCATCAATGGTCAATTATGATAAATTATAAGAATAATTATAAGAAGAATAGATTTGGCAAAAAATCATTATAATTCCTAAGATGTCTGACTTTAGTTGGTACCGTCACACAGAATTGTGATCTTCAACACTTATGCTCAGAAGGTAACAAGACGAGGTGGTTGTTGAAACGTAAAGAAATCAATGTCAATCGAAATCGAAAACGGTGTCTTGGAAACAATTCCAAGGCAGACGACAGACTGCAAACGGCAGGCTACACTTTGGTACAGGTATATGGCATCATCTCCCTAAGTCATTGGCAGTACCACTTCACATCCTCGCTATACCATAATTATTTGTGTAACAAGATCAGGGGTTGTTATTAACACGGCAAAGATCAAAACTGAGGTTGCTTGTGGATTCAAGTCCTCAATTGTAGTGCTTAGGCCTCAAACGACGTCGGCTTTAATTCTTTACCCGCGATGGTAAAGTTTCGTGATCTTGTTATGCAAATAATTATTGTATACCAAACTTCAAAGTATTATTTTTAATGATTTAGGAAGATATACGCCGAGGTGCTGCAATGGAGACAATACTTGATGTCTACTGCTCATGTCAAAGTGCCAAAAATCATAGTTTCAAATTGAGTCGCCATAATCGAAGAGTCAAGTGTCAAAGTAACAAGAGAAATGAAGAGGGATGGCTATTAAGACCTTGATAATGGAATACAATTTTCAATAAGATTTCGACCTCACCTTCCTGAAATGGTTAGTAACATGGTTTCTTTATTACTTAGGTTGGGACATATTCACAATGACTGGAAGCTGTTAAACTGAAATTCAATGCTGTACTTAGTCAACTTCTCCATGCAGAAAGTCAGCTATTTGTCTAACAAATTAAGACTAGCTGTCAGGTTACCAGCTTGGTATGGTCAGTTAGATGGTGTCAGCGTAGTGGACTGCTTCACTTCAATTTGGGCGTGAAGCTAAAGACGGCGAAATGCGGAAAAGAATCGTAGCTGCTAATAGGGCGTACTTCTCGCTGATACGTATCTCCTAATCGAAAAGCATATCCGCATAATCGCCTTGTACGCATACAAATCCTGGACCCTAACACAAAGTAACGAGGAGAGACTAAATATTTTCGAGAGGAAGATAATGAGAAGAATTTTGGGGTCCATTATGGAGAACAACCTTTGGAGGCCTAGGTACAACCACGAATTGTATTAGCATTTTAAGGAACACTCCCTGTCTGATTTTGCGAAAATTCAAAGCCTAATGATAAATAGCGGCATGCAGGGAAAGAAGCTAATCGGAAGACCGATGAAAAGATGGGAGGACGCAGTGGAAGTAGATGGGAGTGCGCAGTTGGAAGAGAATGGCTCTGGATAGGAGAGAGTGGAAAGGCAGATTGAAAGAGGCCAAGGCATGATTTGAGATGTAGCACCATAGGAGGTATGGGAGGCGTCAAATAGATTCCAATAAGATTTTAAAATTGATTACAAGATGTTGCAAACCTGAAGCCTGCGAAGAGAGGCTTGAAAGACCAAGAAAGCTGCCACAATGATGGAAAACCATATCTTCATATGAATTTAAAGGAGTTTGTGAGTTTCTGGCGAATGGGGTTTTCTATAGTATTCCTTTATTTCAGCCATTTAGCACATCTGTTATTTGAATAATTCTGGTATGTTAGACATTTCGGAATTATAACAGTATTAACGCTTCTTAATTCATTACCAGCCCTCAATCAACAGATTGTTTTGATTAATGTTAAAGAGTGAATCTGTGAAAATCGTTCGGTTTTAACCTCATTTGTTAGAACTGAGAAGTGCAAAAAGAGAATATACTTAAGGAGTACTTAAGAAAGAGTTATGTATAATATAAGTATGGATAATATAATGGTGATGTTCATTTATTAGGACTCTCCCATCTGTGTTAGGAAACCAGCTTGCTACTTGATTCTCGTTTCGCAAAACCATTCTGGCCACACATCATGACGCTAACATAGACTGTAAGCCAAGCCACGAGTGGACCAATTCTAGAAGAATTAATTAGACCAGGGGATCTTAAAACCAACAAATCGTACCCAACAAGTCCGTCAAAAAGCACATGGAAGAGTCGATTAGCGAATCCCAAGATGAAATCAATCCAGTTTGATGCAGCCTTGTTTGTTGGAACTAGTGTAGTATAAGAACTAAACTAATATAATGATGAAGTTCTTTAATAAACAACCATACCGTGTAGCTGCTTACAATAATAGTATGGGAATGATGATTGGTTGGGTTGCCTGCACTTTTTTATAAATTTTATAAACCTCATCAGTCAGAAATTAGCACTCAGTTCCTGATTTACAGTTACTCAGAACAAACAGTGAAACATTTATACATATTTACAATTATCTTATTTATACATATTTAAACAAATCCATAATAATTACCTGCTGGTTCACAAGTAAATCCATTTCCTTGATATCCAGGATTACAAACACATATTGCTTTACCAGTATCGTAATCTTCAGTACAAGCCGCGTGCATATCACAAATATCATCGGTCATACAAGATTCTTCGACCTCTTCGCACCTATAACCATCTCCTTTATAACCAGGTTTACAAACGCAACTATACGTTGATTGTAGATACGGCGTGTGAATACATTCCGCGTTGTGATCACAATTATGTAAATATTTGCAAGTAACTAAAAACAATTAATCAATACCAATTTATTTCTTACATTAACACAACTTACATTCATCACTTCGTTTCGTTGTAATCTCTTGAGTGGTTATTTCAACTTGTAGTTGAGGAATTTCCGTTAAATTGTTGTGATTTTCTGTGCAATTATATCCGTCTCCTATATATCCGTGAATACAAGCGCAAGAGTATTTGCCGGATTCCTCATCGATTCCGCAATAACCGTATGGTGAGCAATTGTTGATGTAATAACAACTTTGACTTGTTATTGGTACGCAAGATTGGCCATCCCCGGTGAATCCTGCCATACATTGACAAGTCGCAACTGTGCTTTGAATACATTCCGCGTTTTCTGAACATGTAACCGTTGTGCAAGATATGGCGTTATCGCAAAATCTTCCATCTCCTTCGTATCCCGGTTTGCACTCGCATCGAAAACCGCCCAATTCGTTGATACAGTTCGCGTTAAAATCGCAATCGTGAGATCCGATTTGACATTCGTTTATATCGGAACACAAAAATCCACCGTCTTTATAAACTTCGTGATAACCCGGATTACAGATACACCTATACGTGTCATCGTCGACAACGCAAGATGAATTTGGGGTGCAATGTTGTCTTCCTTCTTCGCAAGGATCGACATCTTCAAATGGTCCGATTTTGTTGCTCAATCCGTATCTTATAATTTGTTCTTTCCCTTCGTAACCGATAAAATTATTACCAACTCTTAATTTCCACGTTGTTCCTGGAGGTGTGTTGTTGTATTTACAATAATTAAATAAAAAGTGTTGTTTAATTTGGAAAGGTACTTCAACTAGGTAATTTCTTGAATTGTTGTATTTTAGTATTCTCGTTGATGTGGATTGTATAACTCCTGGATTAGTTAACGTATATTCTTCTGTGTATTTTGTGATAGTTGCGTTAGCTTGAGGTAAAATTGGGATAACTCCTTTTATATCAACTTCTAATCGTAATCGATCAAAAACGTCGAGTCCTAAATATTTTTGGTTAATAATTAAGGTGTTGTTAGTAAGGGGATAGTGAATTTCAGCGGTATGATTAAAGATACCACCAGTTAATTGAAAACCGTTTAAAGCTGTTTTAACTGGTTTTGCGAAAACCCACCCCATTGTACTCCCTAAAATTTGCAAAGTCTGACTTGAATATCCAATCTCTTTAGGTACTTTAGAAACTGCCGTATAAATCCTTGCATCTCTCATAACAACGTAACACTGTAAATCTAAATTTTCGAAAACTTCCCCGTTGATTTCGCCGTTTACTTTTCCGGTCACGCGGAAATCGGCATCTCGTTTCACGCAGTGTTTTCCATTGCCGTAATATTGTGATTTACACTCGCAACAGAAGCCATCGTCGTAATCAACGCATTTTCCCTGGCTGTGACATAACGATGATGATTCAGCGCATCTTTTCGGAGCGACATCGACTTCATCGTAAAGATCGGGTACTTCTATGTCTTTCGTTTGATCAACTTCGCCAATTTTGAACATCCATTGCCCGGGAAGTCCTCTATTTGATAATCTTTCCAAGTTTCTTATTCTTTCTGATCCGGAGCCGGGAAGAAGATAATATCTTCCATCGGGAGCTATAATCCCCGCTTGGGCTCTTGCATCGGGCAATCCCGATCCATCACCCGTCCCTTGTAACCATTGTATTCCGTTTTCTGGATATAAAAATTCAACGTACGTGTCATCGTTATCTGAGATTAAAGCAACTTGAAATGTGTTGGTTTTATCGGTGCCGTTAACGTGGTAACCAACATCTTCCCAGGTTACTATGAAGATGCTGGTGGGATCGAACATATCTGCGTCTAAAAAGCTATCTCTGATATCGCTCGTTGCTCTATCAATCGATTCGAAATCGTCCGTTTCTAAATAAATAACTCTACCGGCGGCTTTTGTGTCAACATTTGAATAAAGTGGCGCCAACAAGGGGTACGCTAACGGAAATTCATAATTGTAGAACGTTCTGATGTCGTGTTGAAATGATAAAAGACCGTTGTTATTTACCTAGAAAATTTATATAATTATAATTTTTTTATATACAAGGTATAATTTGTGTTTAAAAATAAATAGGTTTCTGTAAAATGTTGATTAATCCTATGCCACGACTTACAGAAACACCTCTGTATAGATAAATATATTTGAATGTATTGAGTGTAGACCATTTGTTGATTTAATTTAGATAACGTAATTATTAAGGTTATGTTTAAAATATCAAAAGAAAGAATTGTCATTTCAAGCAACCATTTAAAATTTAGGTTGGTAAGCTTTGTAAAACTTAAATCAGTTGTTTTTAAAATGACGTGAAGTGACATGAATACCTCCTTAAAAGGATACTATACTTAAAGTTTTCTCGTTTATTTTTGTCAAGTACCATGTTTAATATCCGTTAAGAATCGATTTTCATTTGGTAAGTTTTTATCCGTTTTCTTAACTTTTATTGTTGTTTAATTGAATTGATGGGATATTAAGGTTATGTTTAAAACGTCACTCAAAATTATTCGCAATGTCAGTGTGTTGTGTTTCCATGACAACCGTTTCAAATTCAGGTTGGTAAACTTTGTAAAAATTAGTAAATTTTATAATTATTTGATAAAGTCAATGTTCTCATCCCCAAATAAGACGTTGTTTAGAGCTTAAAGTGTTTATTTTATGTTAGTGTTTATAAAAACAAGTTTTTTGGTAAGTTTTTGTTGTATTCTTCAATTTTCTGTGACGTTTAAACGAGTTAATGTGATTTTATGGTTATGTTCCAATTGTTAATGATAATTAATTATTATTTTTTTATATCACATTTCTTAAAAAACTTAGTTTACACGTTAAGGTTTTAAAAATCATACAAATTTAGACCAAATTTTGGTATTTTAGGGTTATGTTCAAAATATTAAGAGAAAGAATCGTCGTTTCCATAGCAACCGCTTAAAATTCAGATTGGTAAACTTTGTAAAAATTAAATCAATTGTTTTAAAATGATTTAGTGACGTGATACCTCCTAAAAAGAAAGTGTTATATCTTGAAGTTTTCTCGTTTATTTTTGTTAAGTACCGTGTTATAACATCCGTTAAGAATCGATTTTTATTTGGTAAGTTTTTACCCGTTTTCTTAACTTTTATTGTTGTTAAATTGAATTAATGGGATATTAAGGTTATGTTTAAAACGTCATTCGAAAATTAAACGTAAATGTCATTGTGTTGCGTTTCCATGGAAACCGTTTCAAATTCAGGTTGGTAAACTTTGTAAAAATTTGTAAATTTTATCATAACCTCGCGCTATAAACGAAAAATATTTTTATACATACCGGGTGTTCCATAACGAAGTACTGACATAAACATGTTATTTTAAATGGAACGATATAAATTCTGCAGACAAAAATAATATATTGACTTTGATAAGACATGTTGATCCCTAGTGCTTTTAGTTTTTGAGTTATTTTAATTAGAATCTGTTTTTAGCAATTAACACTATATCTTTTAAATCTGATCTCAGTGAGCGGTTGAGCTAGAAAGTTCAAAATTGGTATTGTTTCTCCTTGGATATCCTCCATATCAAATGGAACATTGGTTATATCGGTCTATCTTATACAGGATGTTCAAAAATGTAACTACTGTTTTACAAATCTTCAGTACATGTTCCTATCCCTATCAGATTTTGAGATATTGCGGAATTAATCAAAATCATGCAACGAATGGGAGAATTTGTTTATTTTTTAGTAGGCCATGAAGTCTTCCAACAGTTTTCATGAGTATTTGTGGTAGGCTGCGCAAATTTAGCCCTTCAAGCAGTGATCGTTCTGCTTCATAGCAAAAAAATCGTTACTACAGATATACAAGATTGACTAAATCACGAAGATTAAGTTCTAGGATATGAGATTCTTTGAAATGAAGAGATTGTTGCAGAACATTGAGTTAGTTAAAAACAATCTTGTTAATTATAAATATATAACTGATTTATTTTTGAGTTAATTTTGATTGAATTAAGTGACCTGGGTCAAAATTTATCAAATTGTTTCATATTATATAATAGTTATTTATTTGGGCCAAAATGAAAATATTCGGTTTAAAACGCGTCTTAATTAAGTTTACTTTACTTAATAGGATCAATAACCTACTCATAAGTATAACGAGCGTTGTTCGCATTCGTTGACCCCTAACGCATCTAATAAGATAACCCGCGATTTTTTTTAAGAGAAATGGGTTAAAACTTACGAATATTGTCCTGTATTTGGTTCCGTAGAAAGTGATCGGTTGTATTAGAGGTACTTCTTCGGATACGTCATCCCCTTTCGGTAATTCTTTCCCATCTTCGTACCTGTACAAAAGGGATTTATCTAATCCCAATACGGGAGGAGCAGGTGTTATTATTAGTAAATGTAAACACAAGAAAATCAGCGCAGTGTTAATCCTCTGCATCTTGAAGCTGCACTGAGCCAAGTTCTTCGACGCCTTGGGTCTTATCACCGCCGCAAGTTAAATAAAGAAGAGTTCACAGTTCAAATTCTGTTTGATTTTAATATTAAGAGGCAGTTTTGTATCGCTTAAACAAGATTTTTATTTTCGTTCTACTTACCTAATTAGGTAATAAGGCATGTGCCAATAGATAAATTAATTAAACCAGATATGAGATAAATATTACTTTATTTTTTTTTCTTAAATACAACTGCATTATTATCTAACAGCTATCATACAAAGAATCGATGCTCGTTAACTCGTTAACAATATAAAAAATCATATATAAATAAATATAGTAATTTTACATTAATTACAATGATAAGGACAAAACAATAACTTGTATGTTCAATTTAATAATCGTAATAATAGACAATAATCGTAATAATTAGGTAGTATCACAAAGAAAACGTTATACGCACGAGAATCTTTTGTAATCATTTTTTTTTAATATCTTTTAATCTGTCACAGTGCTACGTGTTATCGTTATAAAAATCGTATTTTCCTATCCGATCGTTGGTAAAAAAAATGAAATCAGAATCCGATGAGATCAAAAAAATTGACAAGCAGTCTTAAGAGAGGGTTATAGGTAGTATAAGGTATACTCGTATCAAAAAAGATTGGCAAGATATATCAATCGTTGATCCCATAAGTGAAATGATATGCGCGGGTGGAATGGATGATGATTGAAAATGAAATGATTTTTTTACCCCTGTATGTCTTTGGCCACAAAATGAAATATATACATTAATTTGTATTGTCACGAATACATTTTAACAATTTTTAAATTAATTTATTAAAGCAACTTATTTCAAAAAGTATCATAATATATTCGCAACATCAGATTTTATTACAGTAAAATCTCGATATAACGGACGTCGTTAGAACGAATTTCGGATATAACGAACAAATATTATCTATTGAATACATCAGTATATTTAAATATAAATGTTAGCGCTCATAGATAGAATCCAACTCGCGTTATATTTTTGTTCTATTCCATGGTTATAGATAAATTCGGGGTATTCCCCGAGTTCTCTATACGATATATAAATCAAGGACGTAGTTCTAGTTTTAATTGTTATTCAGCGCTAAATTGTTATACATTTGTATTGAACTAAAAGTAGAACTAACTCTAGACCTAGAATTTGAAACATTCAGGTTTAGTCGTATGTCTCTTAAGACGGCTAAATGTTTCTAATTCTATGTTAGAGATGAAAGAGGAGAATAGTCTCAGAGGTAATTTTCACATCGTGGCTCCCTCTGTCGGTCTTGACAAAACTCGGACGGTTCGGGAATCCTACAGACGTGAATGAACGGGTTTAGGTTTGTGCATTTATTATTGTATGAAATATGGCATGGTAGATGCGGGATATGTTATGAATATTGAAATTATTTTCTTAAATTTTATCAAAATCAGAAGTTAGCGATTTCGATGAGGGTCTCATCGAGTTCCACACTCGATGGTTTTACTGATGTTCCATCAAAAGTTGATCAAGAGAAGCTAGAAACTATTCGCTAGGGCTGTGTTTGCTATTGTTGAAAATAATGACTGGCAATCACTTTTTAAACATTTGAGATCATCTTTCAAAATCCCCACACGTTATTTATTATCAAATAAATTGCTGGACTCCGAGCATGAAAGAGTTGACGCAGACATTAAAATGAAAATTGGAGAAGCGCATGCTCTTTACCTTACAGAGGAAGCAACCAACGGAACGAATCCATACTTAATTTTATTATGATTACACCAAACTCTGTGTTTTATAAAACTTTGCCAATAAATATTTGTCGACATACTGCAGAATATATTGCTGAAAAAACCGATGACATTTTGAGAGAAGTTGGTTCTGAAAAATTCTTTGCTACAGTAACCAACAATGCCAGTGCAATGGTTAAAGCAAGAAATATACTTCATGCAAAGTATAAACATATTTCTGTTTATGGATGCATTGCTCATAGGCTAAATTTGTTAATTGGAGACATTTTAAAAATGAAAACCATGTCTACTATTATCGAAGATGTTAAGGCTGTCATCAAAGAAATTGACAATTCCCACCTTTTATTGGCTAATTTTAAAAAATGCAAACTGAAAGAAATGACACCAAAGCTGCCTTGATCCCCATCAATTTTTCATAGTTTAAAAAGTCTTCTTGATACAAAAGTATGCATTAAAAACATTAGCAGTTTGTGAAATAGTTGAAGATATAACTACTCAGTAAACGAGTTGCAAAGTTGATATTGGATGAGAATACTTTTTGGGTAAAAGTTTCAAAACTTTATGAGCTAATAAACTCTATTGTTAAATACATAACCCAACTGGAAGGAGATAAACCAAGGTTGAGCCAAGTAGCTGAATGCTTTTAGCAGTTGGAAAGTCATTTTGAAACAGCCCTTTCCTCAAACCCTTTGCTTAACCAAGAGGAAAGCGAAGTAAATAACTTTTTAGTTAAGAGAAAGAAAGCAAATGGCAATAAATCTTATCCATTTTGCTGCAAATATTCTAGATCCAAATTTTAATGGAATACATCTTAATAGAGAAGAACAAATACAAGGAACAGAGTTTATAGACAATATGGCTACTGTAACAAGCTCATATGAGTCTGCAGAGGTAATGGCAGAATTGGCCCTTTATTCCCCATCCATTATTCATGGTTTAAAAAGTCTTCTTGATACAAAATATGCATTAAAAACAGTAGCAGTTTGCGAAACAATTGAAGATATACTCAGTAAACGAGTTGCAAAATTGATATTGGATGAGGATTGTTAAATACATAACCCAACTAGAAGGAGATAAACCAAGGTTGAGCCAAGTAGTCCTTTCCTCAAGCCCTTTGCTTAACCAAGAGGAAAGGGAAGTAAATTTTTAGATAAGACAAAGCAAATGGCAATAAATTTTATCCATTTTGCTGCAAATATTCTAGATCCAAATTTTAATGGAATTCATTTTAACCATTTAAGTCCCGATTTATTTATAACGTTATTTATATCGTGACGAGTCTGACTCGTCAAATGTACTCAAGGGGTTAATAGAGAAGAACAAACAGTTAATGGCAGAATTGGTCCTTTATCGATCTAAAGAAGGGTTATTTGGAAAACCATATGTTTTAAAATCCGTGGAAAAACTACATCCCATTGTATGGTGTTTTTGGTCGTTTAAGTAAAGTTGCAATCAAGATACTAAGTATGCCTGCGTCGAGTGCAGCAACAGAAAGAAGTTTCAGCACACTGCAAAAAGAAATCGGTTTACGGCTGAAGGAGCTCTATTAGATTCATGTGAGACCAGCGAAATGCACCTGGAAACATCCACAAGTTCTGCCACCGAAGGCAATGAAGACCTTTCTGATATTAAAATAATTGAATGAGGTGATTTGGAAACTTTGCCAGAGCTCTCTAAAAGTTTATTAGATTCGAACTAATAATTTGTTTTTTGTTTTTTTTAACGCCAAATATATTCTAAACATTATAAATAAGTCCTCCATAGTAATTAATCCCATAAATATGAACCTTGTCACATTATAGCCGTCAGACTGAATTTGCTGAGCTGTATTTGTGTTTATAGCTTGTTCTCAAAAAATTCTCAAAATTGAGAACATTCTCCTATTTCTTTTTCTCAAGAATTTTCCATCTCTATTCTAGGTCTAGGTTTAGTTCTAGTTTTAGCTCCATGATAAATAGAACTAGAACTAACACTAGCGTTAGAATCAACACTAGACCTAGAGCTAGAAACATTCGCGTTTAGCCGTCTTAAAAAACGTTCGGCTAAATCCGCATATTTCTACTTCTAGGTCTAGTCTTAATTCTAGTTTTAATTCAGCGCTGACGTCACGAACGGACCTTCGAGCTGTGGTTGTAGCAGTCCTCTTAGATTCTACCGTCCTTGGTATAAATATAAACCCACGTAAACTGAACGTAACGGTGTGAATAGCCCGACTTTGTATGAATTAAAATTATTCATATAACGAACAATCTCTATCCCGCATTAATCCGTTATATCGACATTTTACTGTACTTGGACACTTGATTCGGATTCATTTATTATTTTACTTTTGACAATTAGTTGAGAAATGAGCCAATTTCAAATTCACAACCGATTGTCAACGAAAAGTGTTGGTGCATACCTCTACCGAGTTTTATCTTTAATTATTTCGAATACTAAAAAGATAAAACTTTGTGGTTTTGGTATACAAATATTATGCGATTCGACTTTTATAAATTTATTTTTTAAATTTATTTGAAAGCCCTTTTTCGGCCGATAACTGAACACATCGACGACGTTCGCAAGTTCTTCGATTAAGCTTAGAATAAAAATTGTTCTTCCTGAGTATTGGGTTCTTCCTCAAAAAGATCCAGTCTTCGATTAGAAAAAACGCGGAAGTAGAAAAAATGGCCGAAGCGATTGTTTTTTTAAAAATGCGTTTCCGGCGGTTCGTCTATGTATTTACATGTAAAAGGATTCAGAAACCATGAACAAAAAGATTTCTCGTGTTTATGCTTACACTTTCCTCTCCTACTGTGGACGTGCGATAACCTGCTCGTATCCGAGTCTATGCTAGAACTTTCACTATCACGTACTACGCTGTCGTATCCGCTTTCGGCTTTTCTTGATATCGCAGCCGGACTATGTTTTGATGTTCTGGGAGTTGAATCGTGTCCGCTGTCGTAACCTTCTGATTGTTTTTGTGTTACCTTTTGAAGACCGGTTTCTATGCTGAACATTCTTCTGTTAATTCTTTCTGCGGATGGTAATGAATTGGGAGGGGGAAGCGGGAGGACTAAATTCGATTGTGGTGCATTTGTAATAGGGTTCTCACTGGACGCACCGTTTCCAGGAACCCTTTCTTGGTCTTCTCTCAAATTTGGATTTGATGCACCATCAGGGTGTCTTAAATAAGCTAAATTTGCGTCTTTTGGATTGCTGTATTTGTGCGTGTATCTTTGAAAACGTCCGCTTAAATGGGGGGTTGGATTTGATAGTTCCATACTGCTTGCTGAGAGACATGTATCGCCATACCAATTTTGTGCAGTTGCTGGTCTTGACATGCTAATTTTACAATTTTCGCAAAATTTTTCTTGGTTTGGAATATAAGCTGGTTCGCTGTAAATACTGCTGTTATCGTGTTGTGGTGGACCTCCGTATAACATATCGGTGAGGGTTAATGATTCACATCTAGTTAACATTTTTTGGGAATTTCTTTGAAAAGTTTCCGAATTCGAAACGTTTGCTTTAGCTAATTTATTCGAGTAAATTTCGTGTAATCGCGCTAATTGATCAAATTTTTGTCGGGCTTCATTAGTTTTATCTATATCCTCGTAATCGTCGTTGTATAATCCGTATTTTGGGTCGTATTTATTTCTGGGAAGTATCCTTTCTAAATCTGTATATATCGACATTGAATCGGTAAAAGTGCTAACAACTGTTAAATTTTCTTGGCTCAAAATTCTTAATGGATGATCCAAAGGATTTTCTTGATCTACTTCCGGCAAAGGATTTTCTCTTATTCCCATACAATAAGCGATATCTTCTTCGGTTACTTGTAGACAACAATCTTGCGTTGGAACTGGCTCTAATGGTTCTTCAACTTCTATGATTTCTAATACTTCATCTTCATCACTTCCTTGTTGGTCGTCGTAGTTATTTTGGAAATTATTGTATTCGGCGTTGGACATTAATCGCTCTTTTAATAAAATATCGAGACTTTCTAGCGATACTTCTCGGCTACTAAGAGGTTGTATTAATGGTAAAGCTGGGGGGATTTCTGGTTCATCTTCTTCGTCGAAATCTTCTTCAACTTGATCGCCTTCTTCTTGGGGAGTTTGACATTCTGGAATCGCATCGTTATTTTTTCCATTACTCATTTTTAATCCGGTTCTTATATGGGACTCCTCAATTATTTCTTGTTTTTTGCTTGAATCTAAAGGTTTTATAACGACTTCTTCTTCGAGGGATTTAATTTCTTTTCCATCTTTAGTTCTAACATCTTTATGAACGTGGTGCTTTTGCTTAACGATTTGCGATGTTTGATGTTCGACCCATTTTCTTATCATGTTTTTCTTATGGCTATCCATGTATCCGTATCCAGCGGAAGCTTCGGCTTGCATTGGGCCATCTATCCACGTTTCTCGTTTCTTAACATGACACGCTTCTTTCATTAAATGCCTCGCTTCGGCTACTTTTGATTTCGATATTCTTGGGCCATCAATCCATTGTTCATCACTAGGATTTATTTTTAATCCGTCGGGTTGGGGTATTTTTACTTTAGCTGATGTTCCTACTCGATTTGGGGAGCTTTTGTTCGATGATGATGTAACGACATGAGCTGGGGATGTTTTTGTTATCACACCTGATGATAACTTTGGAGTGGGTTTTTGAATGTTTTCGGTTTTCGTGCAAATTTTGGGTTTTTGCTCGGCGATGGAACCTCTTAAAGCTTTACTCATTGAACAACGATTATCCCCCGAGTTTAAACTTGGGATATAAACTGGTGGGTGTTCGCCATCTGTTGCATCGTCAGCTGGTCCGACGTAAATAACTGTGTCGGCTGATAAATCACTGCTTGAAGGATCTGGTTCACTACTTGTTCCGGTTGTTCTCGCTGCTTCTTCTCCTGAGCTACCTCCTGATCCATTTCCGGTGCCGGCGGATACAAATTTTATTCTTCTCCGTCTCATTCGATGAATTCTCGATGCTAATTGGACTGTTGTGAGAGTGTCTGAGTAATTTTGGGCGTAAGGAGAAACGTGGGCTATCATTGCTGCGTGACAGGTTAAGGAACTTAGGCAATCTTTGAGGAGGTGTGTTAATTTATGTTCTTTATATGGCAAATGTTTTTGGCCATTAAAAATTGCGAGAAGAATATTTCCTAACCCAGAAAGAGGGATCCCTCCGCTTGCTTTTCCTCTTTCCGAGTTGCCGAGGTCGATTAGATGAAGACGACTTCGACCACCAGCAACTGCAAAAAAAATTATTCATGAGATTTTATTAATAAAAGGGGTCGAAAAGGTTATGTTTTTTTTTAATTGGGCTGGGACGTAATTCAATTTGCTTAATTGGGTGGTAGACGGGGTTTCGAGGTTATTATTAAAATAATATCCGGTGGAATATTAAAATTTGTCTGGATGGAAAAGGATGGTTTTTAATTTCCGCAGTTTTTTTGTTCGCGGTTAGCTTACCTCCTCCTTTTCCAGCCACACTGTATTGGTAGACGTGAAGTGTAAACAGTAGATGCGAATCTCTAACATCTTCTCGTCTTGGCGCTCTACATTCAACAGCTGCATCCAAATAATGTGCCGCTCTTTCAGCGGTGGGCACTCGTAACTCACAGTGCGGGGGTTGGTTGCCAAAAAGAGGGTCGTCCCTCAAATAAACGCCGGGTGATTGCTCGGAATCTACAGAAAAGAACGGAAACAAAATGTCTTGTTATAAGTTTTGAAGATAAGCTAAAATTTAATTCGAATTTTCTCCCCCTCCCGTAACCCTAATTGAATTTATTAGTGGCATAATTCCATTCTAATTCTTAATTTCATCGCGCCCCTCGTTCCGAATTTTTAATTCGCTAATAGGAACTCTGCCTGTCGTCGATTTGTCCTCCCTCGTCTTCAAATTCACAAGTTTCCGGAAGCGTCGTATCCATTACCCGCACCGGTTGCTCGTTCACCACGACGACGTCTACTTTTATTGCTATCATCCACCGACGGTGACGATATGTAGACACGTTGTACTAACAACCCCCTTATGCAGTTTATATTAATAAGACCCCCTCTCCCTTCAAACCTAACCGAATACGTGACTCGCGGAAAGTTTCGCGATTTAGAGCAGTAATGGTTTCAGTTTCGGCGCACCATAATGCTCGTTTAGGGAAAAGAGAATAGCTTTAAATACCAATTAACGACACATTGAATTATCATTATTCTGTATGCATGGTAATATGGAGGGTGGACCAAAAAAAAAAAGAAGTAACAAGTAAAATATTATTCATGGGGAAAGGATCATATTGATTAAAACATCATATCGAATATTCAGCTTAATACCGAAAAAAATTGTGTATAAAGCAATGGGAGTACGAATAATATAAGAGAATACACAAGTTCGATATTTTTTACAATTTAAAATCCGATTGCAAAAGTTCAAACATTAGAAAAGATTGGGAGAATATATTTGATGATCAAGATGCAGAGATTGATTAAGAGATGTAGATAAAGAGTTTAATATAAAAGTTTTTCATATTACACGAATTTTTGGCAACACTCTTCAACAAGTGTATGTTGGAAAGAAATAATATTCCAGACGATTGGAACTTAGCTTACATCAGCTTAATTTTTTGAGAAAGGAAACAAAAAGTTGTGCCAAAATTATCGAGGTATAGATAACTAGTACATTGGGGAGGTTGCATGGCAAAGTCTTAAAGAATAGGATTAACATGCAATGAAACTCATGGGTCCCAAACAAGTCTAACGAAAAGCAGCGAATCATTAAAAGTATTCGCAAATCATTTAAAATGATTCATTGCCTCACGTACACAGTAGTGCTTTTGTATACAATCGTTGTTGTTTTAATACCGTCGTATAACAACCGTATATAATTTTGTTTAAACTTGTGCAAAACTGCCTAAAATGATCAAAACTTGGCCAAGCTTGTACAAAATTGTCTAATCGTATATGTATATCTAAAATTATCAAAATGTTAAAAAATAGTTCAAAATGATTAAAATGTTACTGAAAGAATGGATACTTGTTCAAGATTATTTAAAAGCGGAAAATTTGTCTAAAATTGTTTAAACTTGTTCAAAACTGAAAAATATTATGGAGTTGCCCAAAATGATAAAATTGTATTTAAAATTATTTAAACTTGTGTTGTTTTGGTCGATTTGAGATTTCATCCGTTCTTCCAGTTGGTTCTCCCTGGAAATGTTTCGCCAAGATCTTACCTGGCATCTTCAGTGCGTTGTCGTAGTTTCCTGTCGGCAGACTAACTGTTCAGAGTTTCGTACGTAAGAGTCAGCTTGCTCTGTTATGGGTTGCATGATCTTGGCTAGATACTTTTCAAGATTTTGTACCTGTGAGTGGTACTTGTGGATTTTGGGCAGACTATAGAGTTGGAACACCTGCTTGATTTTCCCCGAGGGATTAGGATTTTCTTGATCCCGGGGGATTTTCTATTTTCGATTGGGTCGTTCTTTCCAGGTAACTTGTAGGCTCTCTTGCTGCTGGTTTGTAAGCTGCGTTGTTGAGCAAGTCCGTGATCTTGTTCTTATAGTCCACTGAATCCATAACCACTGTGGCGTAGCCTTTGTCCGCCGATAGTATGATGATGGTTATTTTTAAAACGTTTTAGGGCCTGGAGTTCACTTGGAACCAAGTTGGGCTTTGGGTGGTTTGGCTAAACGTAGGATCCTGGAGATGTCCATTCTCAGACTTTCGGCTTTTTGCTTGTACATTGTGATTAAGCTGGCTCAACGTTGGTAACGATTTCTTCGACCGGAATAGTCGTGGTTAAGGCGTAGTTGAAACCTTTGATTAAGACGGCTTTTTCGGCATTGGAATGATTATGTTCTAAAAGATTATGGACGATTCTGGATGTGGAAAGGTGGATGTTTCGATTTTTTGGTAGATTCCGTTTCTAAGCCCTCGAATTTCTTTTGGAGTTGTCTGGTTTTTAGAGCTTTGTTGGTTTCGCTTTTGGGCTTTTAAATAATTTTAAACTCATTTGGAATATTTTTGATAATTTTACAACTTTCATGATTCATGAAGTTTCACATGATTCATAGTAACTATTGACGAATGAAGGCAACACTCAAGCAACGAATCAGCGAATATGATTCACTATGTGAGCCATTCGCTGCAGGTCTGGCTAAAAACATGGAGAAGACAAATTTCGAAAATGAGATGGATGATAGAGATGGAAGGTTAAACCCAACCCTTTTCTTTGCTAACGACCAAGTTGTTAAAGTAAGTGATTAGAAGAATATAGGGAGTGAGGATTGAATATCAATATGGTTTAGACAGAATATATGGTTATAGCAAATATAAGGGATTCTGAACTACAAATAAACAAAAAAATAGGAAGATCCAAGAAGAGTGGAATTATGATTAAGTCAGATTAAACTATACGGCCTATTAGAGCTAGTTTTAACGTAAGGGTCGAAATTCTGGTAGCTCACTACGAAAAGCAGGAAATAACTTGAACTTTTCTAAGAAGACCATGCAGAGTATCAAGACTAGAACATGTTCCAAATGAGGAAATTAGACGACGGTAGGGTATATACGTCAATTGATGGTGTGGATATGATAAGGGCATGTGATGAGGATGCCCCAAAATCAATGGCCAAATAGAGCTCTTTGATATGTACCTCAACATAGAAGAAGGAGAGGTTATCCTAATACATCCCAGATTTAAAGGATCAGACAGACTGTGACTGATCGAGCCTTACCAGAAAAGGGATGGAGAAATAGAGAAGAATGGCGATAGAAATGCAGGATGAAATATTTTATTGCCACTTTATGCAGCATAGTGGTATAGAGATATTTGAAGTTTCTCTTGGACATTCCTCAATATTATTGCTGTCATCCCTCAACATCATCTTAGACAGTTCCTAAAACTATGCTGGACATCTTGGAACTCCTCAACATTGTCAAAAGTATTCTTTGATATTGTCCCCAAGACACCTCAATATATTCCTGGAAATTTCATAATGTTTTCTCTTCAATATGTTAATTCTTATGTTAATTTTAGATTTATTAAAAAGAAATTTATGAATAGAAATTCTCTTACCGTTTGAATGTCCTGCTAGTAAATCTCTAAGTTGATTTGTCGGTCCACATACTTCAACAGCAGAAACTCTAACTGAAAATCGAGCTCCGGTCTTTTGCTTCTGTTCATTGATGCCTCGAAAAAGCCAGGAAATTGCACACGGAATAATTCCGAGTGTGTTGGCGCTGTCCGTGTTGCCCAACATAGTATACGATTTCCCTAAAACCAAAAAAGCATAGGTGAAAAATTTTCTATTTCGCAGGTAGGTACCGATGCGGTCGTATTTCTTCCATAGCGGACAGATAACTGACCGAATGGTACCCAGAGGCGCGATTGACGATTCTCCTGTCCACTGCAGTAGGACTTCGTATCCGGATAACAGGCAGTAACCCGGTTTCCCTTTGAAATTTATAGTCAACCGCAGACAGGTTTTGTCTCTTATCTAATATGTCACAGAAAATTTACCTAATCAATTTTCCAGTCAATTTTCATACGATAATAGAGCCGATTAGATAGGGGTTAGGTCTTTAGTTTTCGTTCCGTTGAATTACTTGAACTAGTTGACAGAGCCATCACGTGAAAAATTTGCAATTTGATGAAAATGGGGTTTCCCCTGTACGTTGTCGCCGCGGTAACAACACTTTGGGGCAAAGTGTGCATACAAACTATGGGCGCTTTTTTTCCGATAAAAAGCCACCCCTTAATCCCGTCCGAATAAATATCCGGCCCTCCCAAAAGGAGATATCCGCTTTAGGGATGCGTTCGATTTCCGCGGCTAAATGGATAATAGATGCTCGCGTTAAATCGATTACCTACGGTGTTTACCGTTCCTCCTACGACAATTTATCGCCGATTTAAAGATGATTTTGACATAAATATTAATTAATTAAAAGAACTTTCATTAGAACTTACTTTTCTTTTTGGTTGGTTTATTTACTGAATTATCTAGTAAACGTAGTCGTTTATCTTCATTTTAACCCTTTAAAGTTTTCAAAAGAACACTTTTTTCCTTTTACTACGAAATCGCTGAAATAATACTTGGAAGCACGTGTTTCTTTCTGGGTTCGGATCGATAGTACAATAATCGTAAAGAATACGGCGCGTAAATAAACGTTCTTTTTCGTAGTACTTCCCGTTTCTTCCAGCACAGATTTTCTTGTGCCATTGTGCGTCTCGCACGTAAACAAAGCGGCCCCAATAAGACTCGGGAGCACTTTGGAGCTGCTCCCCGTTTCGTAGAGCGCGAGACGTTTGCATCTAAATTGGTTATTACTCGACGGTTCGTGGCAAAACTCATTTGAGCGTGGTACAACTCTATTTGGGTTGTAAATCAGTTTGTTATTTCGCAAAATTTTTGTCACCGCAAACTTGAATTTCTTTTAGTTTTTGCCATTTTTTTTTGAATAAACGTGCTTTTTATACGAATTAATTTGGATTAATTAATTTTGGTCGAGAGATATTAAAGTCGGCGTGTCGAATGCCCGTTCTGACAGATACTTAATATGCTAATTCTTCGCTTACGAGGTACCCAGATAACGGCTAAAACGGTGTGAACGACGACTCTCGGGGACAGTTCTACCGAAAATTTCGTAGTCGCCAGATTTACGAATGCGTAATAACCGGGTTAGGACGCTTTTCGACGCTCGCCGCTTTATCAAATTTTCAAGTTAAACTTTTAGTGGAACGACCGGCTTTATCGCAATTAACCACTAATGATTCCATTAACGCTAGTTACTTTCGAATTCGATCGAAAACCAAAATCGAGCGATGAATCGCGAATTTCGACCGCATCGCGTTGTCAGACTCAGAATTAATAATAATGGCTCGCATTAATCCTTTGTAGAGAGCAAACAGGGATAAATTCACACTACACATGCCTACATGTATGTATGTATGTTATAGTCGAGAAACCCCCTTCAAAGGATATTAATAACAATCAAACTCGCACGAGTTAATTATGGTTATTATCACAAAAAAGTATTCTTACCTAATCCAGCGTGTCCAAAACAAAAAAGACATCCATCCGCACCATTTATGACAGCATGTATGACATCGGTTAGAGCACTCGAACAAATTTCAGTCTGAAACCAAAATCGAATCGTTTATTACCCGGATTAGAAACTTCAACACTAGACACTACTTCAAGAAGATTATACACTCTGACACTTGATAGAGATCGCATGTTGCCTGAAGAAGATTGCATATTGCTTGCAAAACACCAGGTTTTCATCGTAGAACACAAGATTCTCTATTTGAAGCTTGTTGAAGGCATATTGCTTGAAAAAAACTATATAGTGCTTGCAAAAGACTAGATTCTCATAGTAAAAGATCAAGTTCTCATTATAAAAGACAATATTCTTATTGTAGAAAACTAGATACTGCTTGCTGAAGTATAGATACTACTTGTAGTAGTATAGATATTGCTTCAAAAAGACTATATTCTGCTTGATCAATACTAGGTACTGCTTAAAGCTTGACGAAGACCACATATTGCTTGAAGAAAACTATATACTACTTGCGACGGATCAGTTTTTCGTTGCAGAAGACTGAAAAATTTCGCGGTCGAGGTAATATGATGTTTGATACCAATCTTGTTATGATATGGTATTAATTGTAGTGTCTCAGCCGCAAGCAACCTCGGCTTAAACCAGTGACATCGTTTATTTCAGTGTATTAAGCCGAAACCAAAATCGAAAGGAAATCCTTTAATAACTTGTGATTATTAGTGCAATGTTCTACTCTCTGACACTTGATGGAGATCAAGCAATATGTGCTTGAAGAAGATAGCATATTGCTTGTAAAGGACCAGATTTTTATCGTAAAACACAAGATTCTCATTGTTGAAAACTAGATACTGCTTGCACATAAGTAGGTACTACTTGCAGAAATGCAGCTATTGCTTGAATAGGACTATACAGTGTGTCCCCGGATTGTGTCCCCGTAAGGTATAATTGACGATAAATTTTTGAATTCAAATTCCATCTTTTGCAATTAAAGTCTGGATGTCATAAAACGAAATATAACCAAGTTTTACGTCGAATATCCTCAAAGTACCAAAGTTAACGCAAGAAGTTTGTTAATCGTTGCAGGTAAAGTGGTCTTTCTGAGCAATGTACAACAAAAGTTGATTAAAATAAAATGTTTGTTATGTTAAATTATAGCGATATGCCGAATTTTATTAATTTAGCATATAAAAGAAAAAATGAGTTTTTTCTTGAAAATTTTTTTCTAATACTCTGTTTTACAATAAAAACAAATGACCTGAGTGAACTAACAATTATCATTTGATAGCTTAGCTTTAGCCTATTGTCAAATATTAATTGATAATGTTTACATTACAATATAAAATATTTATAGTGCAGTGCTATGGATGGGGAACATTAGTTACAATGCAGTTTTAAGGCAATTTGAGGAAAAATTTGGGTTTTTAGTAGATAAAAAAACAATTAAGAGAGTTGTTAAAAAATTTGTGCAAACGGGCAATGTGGAAAATAAAAGGAAGGAAAAAAAGCTTTTAGATGAACATAATGCGGGGTCGATTGTTGCAGTAACAAACGCAATGGATTATGGTAAGGGGTCGTATTATAAACCAAAATTTAACCACACTATCGAATTAGGTGATGAAGCAAAACGTTTAGATTATTGTTTGTGGCTTGGGTACAAAATTTTAAAAGACAGAACTTTTTAAAAAACATAAAAACATTGCGGCCCACATTCGACCATTTTAATTAGAAATTATTTAAATACGTTATTTCGAAAAAAATGGATTGGTAGATATGATCCGCAACCATAGTCGCCAAGAAGTCCGGATTTATTTATTATGGATTTTTATTTTTAAGGTTATGTAAAACAAAAAGTGTACGCTGAAAATTTTAATAACAATTTAGACTGTTTAAAACAAAAAAATTGAAACTGTTATTAGAGAAGTTCCGTTGGACCATATTAGAAAAAGTTATAAACAATGTCGGAAAAGGGCTGAATTATGTGTTAGTGTTGGTGGTGGTATCATTGAATAAGTTTTATGTTAATTTAGTTTAAATCGAAAATGTTTTGTTAATCTTATGATTTAAAAATCTGCATTTTGCTTTTATATCCTACATTAATAAAATTCGGCATATCGCTATAATTTAACATAACAAACATTTTATCTTAATCAACTTTTGTTGTACATTGCTCAGAAAGACCACTTTACTTGCAACAGTTAACAAACTTCTTGCGTTAACTTTGGTACTTTGAGGACATTTGACGTAAAACTTGGTTATATTTCGTTTTATATCATCCAGACTTTAATTGCAAAAGATGGAATTTGAATTCCAAAATTTATCGTCAATTATACCTTACGGGGACACAATCCGGGGACACACTGTATACTGCTTGAGCAAGATTAGATGGTATTTGAAGCTTGTTGAAGGCATATTGCTTGAAAAAAACTATATAGTGCTTGCAAAAGACTAGATTCTCATAGTAAAAGATCAAGTTCTTATTATAAAACACAATATTCTTATTGCAGAAAACTAGATACTGCTGCAGAAGAGTAGATACTACTTGTAATAGTGTAGATATTGCTTCAATAAGACTACATTCTCCTTGAAGCTTGACGAAGACCACATATTGCTTGAAGAAAACTATATACTGCTTGCGACAGATAAGTTTTTCGTTGCAGAAGACTGAGGGATCTCGGCTTAAGATAATGGCATCGTGTATTTAATTGTATTAACCAGTCATGTGTTGATAATGGTATTGACCTCGGTTTAATCCAGTGACATTGTGTATTTCAGTATATTAAGCCGATGCCAAAAGAAAAAATACATCAATCTGCACGATTAATGACGGCATGTCATACATCGGTGAGAGCGCTCGAACAAATTTCAGTCTGAAACCGAAATCGAAGGGACATCCTTTAATAATCTGTGATTATTAGTGCGATCTTGAAGACGACGCCAGACGTTTCATCAAGTCCAAACGTCGTGTTCAAAACTCGCCTAATACCCGGACGTTTCGATGACGAATGCGACCGCAAGAGAACGTTCAAACTTTGCGTAATATCGCGCGAATCGGCACCTGTTCCTGTCTAGGATTAGGATTGAGGACACAACTCCTTGTGGTAGTTGTAGACGCTTTTCCGATCGATAGTTGAAAAGTTTTTTCATAATATCAACAAAATTAGAATGATAACTTTCATTGATTTCTTTACACTTTAGATAGAGTGTATTTAGTAGTTTTCTCTAATTATCGTTTGCAAATTTGTTATCAACCCCCGACAGAATGCAAATTAACAGAGAGAACACACCCTTTGTTCGGTTTGTTTTATTGCCGTAACAACGTAACAATGAATGGGCGTGTTTTTTGCTTGTTCACCCATTTTTACTCATGAGTTCCCTTTATTAACGTACCCGAAAAACCTTCAAAACTAGAAAAAAAGTAAATTTTATTTTAGGAACTCATTTTAACCGCTCAAATGTAAAAGTCGTGTCGATGTTTCTAAGATTCTTTCCCCCCGAAGTTACTGAAGGAGCCTGGAGGTGGTGAGGAATTTTGGGAAAGTGTCGATTCCCACGTACCTCTTCTCAGTCCCCTACACTTTTAAGCAACGTCAACCCCTCTGCTCTCGTTGAAAACGTCGTCGAACGTAGTCGGCCTACTTTTTCTTTAATATTCCATAAAGATCTTGATGAGTTTTTTACGCGTTTTGTTCGAAATTGGTCGTAAACACTTATCTTGGGTGGGCATATTTTCCTGGGCTTTTTTGATAAGAAGGAAGGGCTTTTTTACTTTTTTTAATTCCGTTTCACCTAGCTTACCTGAGAGTCATCCTGCGAGAAGATTGCGTCAAACGCGAACATTTTCGGTGCTGCTACTCCAACTCTCCTGTCTTCGGGGGCTGCTAATCCGCTACAAGCAGAAGGGTCTATTAACGTAACTTGTTTCTTTCGCTTGTCAAGGTTGAAGAAGCCGTTTGTACTCCCCGTTTCACCAAGATTCGAAGTCGGCGTCGACACTCTAAGCATCACTTTAACCTAACAACAACAAGAAAATGTTAATTAACCGAAAGGAACAAAAACTAAATGCTTCTCGACGACATAAATTTTCGATTCCCGTTGGGAGGGAGGTTTAACACACGGCGCTCACCTGTCAGGTTTTAAAAGTGCTTATCACCAATTCCCAACCCAATTATAATCGGAAAAAAGTTGTCCGTGCATACGAAAAGCTGGTGCTCTCGGGCTATGTTCAATTTCGCTTTGCGCCCTTCTCTTGGGTGATTTATGTCGAACGGAGCTTTTTTGATATATGGCCTCTGTAATTGCCCAAGTTTTTGAGTTATGCGCGGGCCGAGTGCTTTTGCGACAGAGCGCAAATTAACTACGCCATTGAAAACGGTAAAACAGACCGTACGCGTGCCTCTCTTCTTGACAGGACAACTTACCGCCAGTGAGTTACGCGTGGAATAATTGAAAACCTCACGAATATTGAACGAAGGATTTATTCAAACTCACCCAGTGTAGATGGATTTATTTAATAATCCCCACGTCGGATGTTGCACGCGGTTTAAAGTTGGTTTGAAGGACCCTTGTCATTACCGAAAACTGAATACCGAGGGTGTTCCTGAATAATTTCAAAATTTTCTACTTCAAGTACCAGATTCTACGAGATAGATATTCACTAAAACTTTTTTAATTTATTAATTTACTAATCTTTTGGTCCAGTTTGGCCAAATATATATATTCTTATATAATTTATTAAGTAATTAAGATTCCCGTTGTTGTTACCATTGTAATTTTAGTATGCGAAACATTTCTGCATTGGGATACTTTGCACCACATTATAACGGGGTGGTCAAGCGACCGTTCGTGAAAGCAATTAATAAATTAATTTATAGTTACCAGGTCGGTGTTGACATAATTTGCAGTTAGTTAGCCCCTCTCGGGTTTCCATACTCGACGTTGTTGTTTCGGTTACGAACGCATATTAAAGCAGACGTATTTACACCAATGAATGGAAGGAACACCACCCCTTTTACAATAAATCACAAACTTTTTGCTACTAAACGGTCCCCAAATTAAGTGATCAAAAGGGAAGAGGGTGGTATAGATTAGCAATCGGCTTGTTTTCTCGTTACCTACGTATCGGGTAGGGTGCTCAATGCTTTGAGGAGTCGAAGGGGATTGCGATATCGCGTCGACGCTCGTTTCAGTGATGGATTTATTGCCGGAGGGCACCGTAGGTGGCGATTTTTGCAAATTTACCGGGGACCGGTTTGTTGGCGACGACGTCGTCGCCGATCCAATTTTCCGACGCTAAAATCAATACGGTTTATTGGACGTTTTGACAGTCCATTAAATTATTTAATATAAATTCTGAAACGCCCCAAAGGCATCGAACGCAATTTGAGTGGTTAACGTTGTCTCTCCGCTACGGATATATTCACGTTTGATCGACACGTTACAGGTTAATCGGCGGAAGCATTCTAATGCATCACAATTGAAATCGAAACACAACACAGTAATAGTGTAGTAATTTATCAAATTGATGACAAGAACTAATAGATAATAGAATATTAAGTAAAGGAAGCGATAAAGAATACTCCCTCCTATTAGAACATTTTCTTGAAGAAGACTACACTACACAGTTTGACGTTTATATTGCTTAAAGAAAACTATATACTGCTTGTAAAAGACCACATTCTTATTATAGAAACTAGATGCACCCCATTACAGTAAACTAGTGCTTTCATAATACCAGATACTGGTTTTAGAAGACTAGTTATTGGTTGCTATAGTGTTAAAAAGGCTATATATTGTTTAAAGAAAATTATATACTACTTGTAACAGACCACATTCCTATTGTAGAAGACTACTTGATGCTTACAAAAGACATGATTCTGTTTGAAGAAGTTTTACATAAGACTATATACTATTTGCAAAAGACTGCATTCACAGTGCAGAAGACTAGCTACTATTTGTAGAAGACTGGACACCGCTTCAAGAAGACTATACAATGAGACTTGATGGTGATCTCATATTGGTTACAAAAAAAAGAACAAATTGCAAATGGTTTGGTTTTGATTGTAGATGTGGCGTACATCTAGACGGCTGAAATGAATCTGGAAAGGCTTTACAATCTGAGAAGGCCAGAAATGTTTGTAACCTTTACAATGACACTTTCTCGGGTAATTGAAGGACAAAAAACAGAGCCATAAAACGTCGAGCCCTCGAACTTCAACGGAAACTTTCCCCGGAACATAAAAGAACCAAGAAGAGAGTTGGTTCCAGCATTTTTATCCCGAACAACCGTTCTTCGAAACGCATCGATACTTTTATTGTTATATTTTTGTTTGTAAATAAAATTTCATTGTTGTAGCAGACAATAGGTTTTCCTAACTTTCTCTCGCTAGTATCAAAGCATTAGCCCCGCAATAGAACACAAAATTCTGCAGAAAACTAGATATTGCTTGCAGAAGAGTAGATACTACTTATACATTCTGCTTGAACAGGACTAGATACTGTTTGAAGCTTGACGAAGACCATATGTTGCTTGAAGAAAACTATACTGCTTGCGAGATATCAGTTTCTCGTTGTAAAAGACCGAGAATTTTTCCGGCCAAGGCAATACGATGTTTAACACCAGTCTTGTGTTAATATGGTATTAATTGTAGCGCCTCTGCTTAAGTCAGTGATATCATGCATTTCAGTGTGTTAAGCCGAGGTCGCTGACGGTCGAGGCAGTTTTATACCAGTCTTGTGTTGGTATATTGCTTCAATAAGACTATATTCTGCTTGAACAAGAATAGATACCGCTTGAAGCATGACGAAGACCTTGACGATGCTTAACACCAGTTGTGTTGATATGCTATTAATTAATGCGCCTCAGCCGCAACCAACCTCGGTTTAAAACAATAGCATCCTGTATTTCAGTGTATTAAGCCGAGGTCGCTTGCAGCCGAGACAGTACGTTGTTTTACACTAGTCTTATGTTGATGTGGTACTAAATGTAGCGCCTCGGCATAAGCCAATGATATCGTGCATTTCAGTGTATTAAGCCGAGGTCGCTGGCGACCGAGGCAGTACGTTGTTTTACACTAGTTTTGTGTTAATATGGTATTAATTGTAGCGCCTCGGCCGCGAGCGATCTCGGCTTAATACACTAAAATGCACCATGCCATTGCCTTAAGCCGAGGCCGATCGCAGTCGAGGCAGTACGTAGTTTTACACTAGGCTTGTATTGATATGGTATTAATTGTAGCACCTCGGCCGCAAGCAACCTCGGCTTAAGACAACGGCATGATGTATTTCAGTGTATTAAGCCGAAGTCGCTCGCGGCCGGGTATTATGGTGTTTTACACTATTCTTGTGTTGATATGGTATTAAATGTAGCGCCTCAGCCACAATCGAACTCGGTTTGGTCGCTGATATCATTGTTTCTTATGATTAAGCCGAAGCATTGCTGTTATTTAGATTTGGGTTGGTTAATATTAATTGTAGTGATATAATGGTACAAAATATCTTTTGTACTGAAGGCTTAAGCCAGCGACATCGTGTGTTTCAGTTTATTAAGCCGAAATCGGTTGCAGCCAAGGTTGTCCCTTGTTTCACACCAGTCCTGTGTTGATATGATATTAATTGTAGCGCCTCGGCCGCAAGCGACCTCGGCTTAATATACTGACACACACGATGTCACTGTTGTTTTATACTAGTCTTGTGGTGATATGGTATTAATATTAGCGCTTCGGCCGCAAACGACCTCGGCATAAACTAGTGCCTGGTGTGTTTCAATGTATTAAGCGCCTGCGGCCGAGGCTGTCGGTTGTTTTACACTAAACTCGCGTTGATACGGCATTAATTGTAGCGCCTCGGCCGCAAGCGACCTCGGATTAAGCCAAAGACGTCGTGTGTTTCAGTGTATGAAGTGGAGGTCACTCGCGACCCGGTATTATGTTGTTTTACACTATTCTTGAGTTGATATGGTATTGAATGTAGCGCCTCGGCCGCAAGCGACCTTGGCTTAAGACAATGACATGGTATATTTAAGTGTATTAAGTCAAGGTCGCTTACGGACGAGGTGGTACGATATTTTACACTAGTCTTGTATTAATATGGTATTAATTGTAGCACCTCGGCTTAATATACTGAAATGCACCATGCCATAGTCTTAAACCGAGGTCGCTCGCGGTTAAGGCAATACGTCGTTTTACAGTAGTCTTGTATTGATATGGTATTAATTGTAGCACCTCGGCCGCAAGCAACCTCGGCTTCAGACAATGGCAGTACGTTGTTTTACACTAGCTTTGTGTCGATATGTGGTTAAATATAACTATTAAATTTTTAATTCAGAATCGATCGATTAAGAATTTGAAAGGAAATTCTTTGGGTTGTTATCAAACATTCACAAACGCAATTTTCTTGGGGGGATCATAAACGCATTCGCTCGCGGTAGGTAGATGAAAATTTGTTATGGCCAATAAGACAAATGTGAGGATAAATTCGCGCCTAACGTGATGGTGATTTTTACGATATTAAGCTGGGTCGTAAAACTGATCGGTATAGAACGTTATCTATCCTTTTCGCGTTCGTCGTAAAACATTATGGTCGCGCAAGGTTCCATCTCGCGCACAATCGCATAAACCGAGCAGAAAGGAATGGGTGCCTCGTAAAACGCCGCTCATAAAATTTAATACCACATTTGTTTAGAGCGAAATCCTTCTTAGTCCTTAAGGCTTTTAATCAAGGAAGGACTCAATTAAAACTAGGTTTAAAACGAGATTTAAAGCGGAGTTTAGAACGGAGTTTAAAACAGATTTAGTTGAAGCTATTGTACGGTTTGTCTCGTACTCCAAAAAGATTTATGTGTATTTTTGGAAATATTGTTATATCGAAAAAGAGATTGAGTGCTTTCGAATGTTTCGTTGAATACAATAATATAAACTCGACCCATTTTGGGATGTTGGTGCAATATATTCGCGCGAGCTTTTAGTTGGACGATGTCTGCATTTCGGTTTTGATCGATAATTTTTAATTAAAAGTCCTCGTGAAATATGAACGTCATAAATCGTAAACAGATCGCTGAGCAATTCAGTGTATATTTATTAGCGTGATCGAAAGTTATATGGAGCATATTCGTAAAGATATAAACTTTCTGCAGTAGGTTCAAATATTTAGTAACATCGATTTATCTGGGAGCCGCAATAATTAATTTACGTTCGAATCAGCTTTTTAACCCGCGATGATTAACATCCGATAAATATGTCGGTGATGGCCCCAGTGTAAATAATAAATCATACCGGATGCAGTTGCGCCAACAAATACGTGGTTGAAACTACGGGAATTGAAAGTTAAATAAAAGTTACGGAATCGAAAATAAAAAAGGGGGCATCCGCGACAGCAGCAAAGTTTTATCACCAATTATGCAAATTATCTCCCTAGTTGAGATTCGAAACTTTCTGAGCGGGTGGGAAACAGTTAGA